CTTTTCACGGTGTATAATTTACCTTTTCATCATTACTGTTTCATTAGAAACACCGACGCAGCTCACACTAGTTTTTAGCTAGTTATATCTTTTTATTCATTTTGTACTTAATTTCTAGAGAAGTCTTCAGAGTATCAACCAATCAAGTCTGATGGTCAATCACAAAAGCTAACCAGAGACGATGTTGACGTTCTCAAATCTCAAGGAGCTTCTGGAAAGGTACGACCATTATCATTTAAATGTGTGCTTTTCAATCACTTCAAAATTTGCAGAGTACGCACTCAAACTGCAACAGAAGTAAATGGTTTTTGAAGGATCATAAAAACATAGGGGTTGATGTGCTATAGCCCCCCACCCCCCCCCCCTACTTCACCATCACCTCTGCCATATGCATACTAGAAAGAAAAGTAAAAGCCTCAGTTTCAAAATGCCGTTTATTATTTTGGCATAGTCAGGAACCGATTAAAATTTTAACTGGAAATTCATTTTATTTATAACCATTTCCTTCAAACAGGAAATCGTGAAGAAGCTTGTTGAGAACAGTGAAACATTCAAAGATAGAACTGAATTTTCTAAAGCCAAGTACATGAAAAAGAAGCATAAAAAGTAAGAACATCAGCTTAAGATAATGACCACTCACAAAAAAATGTCACGCCAAATCTTTGTTTTGCTGGTCATTTTGACCAGTAATAACATTATGAGCCAGAAATATGGCATGACTGAGTTAAAACTAAAACTTTTTTTAACCAGATATAATGCAAAAATTACAGTTCTCAAACCATCAACACGGCTGATAGCCAGCATGTACTACTCAAGGGCACCCAATAAAATATGGTAAGACAAATTAACTTAAGCCATGCACACACTTTTTTTCATTATCTGTAAAAATCTAATGAAGCTTGTCTTCAAAATAGCCAAAACATAAGAATAAGAAAAAATTAATAGATGCAAATAAAATAATAATTTATATTGGTAATATATATAATATTGTATAGTAAACTGTACGAAGATAGACTGAGGTTCCTTTGCAAGCACCCTCTCCTCTTTTTCCCCATTATTACATGAGGTTGGAGACTTTTGCATTGAGACTTTCTTTAGATGTGTTTTCAAGAACTCTATATTATTATTAGGTTGGGAGGGGGAGACTCTGCTGATGTAGAACATTTCTTTTGTTGTGCCACAGTCCATGATTGTAAGCTATAATGTACATGAGCAAATGCTATTTRACACAGCTACTGTCAAAATCATGTGGAGGATTTGGAAACTGTTGTTAAGCTAAGTTGTTAAGCTAATAGAATGTCCAACATTAGAGTCTATTTTTCCCTCATTAAAGGCAAAGGAGACTCTACAAGCAGGAAAAGATAGAGGATAAGGGCTTGTTAAAATATAACACATCTTATCAAGTCCTTTAATCAGAGCGACTGTATTTGTGACAGTAATGACCTCAAAGTTTTTTGTTTTGTTTTCTTTATGCAGTGCATTAAGGCCAGATGCTTTATCTCAGCTTCTTTCATTAGCCAATATAAGAGCAAATTCTAATGTAATAGTGATGGAGCAGTGTCAAGGTCTTGTGGCTGGTGCAGTGCTAGATAGAATGGGAGGTAAAGTGATGAAGGAAGATGAAGGAAATTCTCAGGCTTTTCTCCTCTTTCTGCATGTGTGATTTCAGAAAAAATTAAATCGCTCACTTGATGAGAATTGTATCTTTCAGGGTTCATGCTACTCCATAAACTCCTTGAAAACTCCTTGAATTTAATTCACGTTTTTAAGGGCACTTGAAAAACTCTTGAATTTTACGATTTTGGGCAAACCTCCTTGAAAACTCCTTGAATTTTTGCTTTGATCATAACTTGCATGGTTCTGAAATAGATGTAGTCAGAAAGATTGGAAAATCTGAAAGTCGGCAATGTGCAACCACCTTGTAAAACCTTGGCACATTTAGCTGAACACACTCCTTGAAAATCCATTTTTGAATAGACCTGGAATTTTAAGTGGTTATTTCAGCACAAACCCTGATCTTTGATTTGATGTAATTTATTGTTGTGTTTATTCATTCACAGGTCATGGGAGTATTGTCCAAATCCACTCTGGAAATTTTCCTACCAGGTAAATGTCTTTGCATGCACCATAATTTATAAGCTAAAATAAAGCATTTTTCAAATTTATTTCATTTTTTTAAGGATGGCAATGGAATGTTTTGGCTTTTCTTCAAGTTTTATGGAAATAGTCGATGGATTTCCACTTTGCAAAGTAAACAGTCTTAAAGGTATCTAGCTTTGACTTTTTTGAAATCCATCCATTCTCACATTCTGGTCATTCATTCATTCATTCCATTATTCATTTATTCACTCATTTATTAGCCACCTCTACCTAGTTGCTTAAGTCAATCACTTATGGGCAGATCCAGGATTTGTTTTAGGAAGTGGAGCACCATTGATGGTCAGGACATTTCAAGATTGAAGTACCATGTACCATAGATATCAGCTTCTCTGGGGGGGGGGGATGAGGGGTGAACAACCCCAACATCAATCCCCTAGATTCTTCCCTGCTTTTTCACTCACTCATTCATTCTGGATCTTCTTTTTTAATCTATTTTTCAGTTCCAAGTCAAGAACTAGAAGATATGACTCCTTCACAAACAGTGGAAGTCATTATTAAAAAAGAGCAGTCAGAGAGTGAGGCAGATGTGGATGAGACCAATCAACAGTCAAGAGCATCATCCAGTAAAACCTCAGAGGAACAATCCACAGAAGTTAAGAATCAACAGGTAAATATGACCATTATCAATGTCACTAACAATCAAAGATTGCTGGGAATGAAGCATTGCATTAGTGCATTGTACTTATCATGGGCTTTTGGATTTTGGGTTCAATTCCCAGACTCTGCATCACACGACAGTAGATTTGGTTAGGTCTCTCCCTTGATTTTAGGGTTTTTCTCCTGGTTCTCCCATTTCCCTCACTCCACAAAACTTAGCATGCTAAATTCCACTTCAATCCATGAGTTAGCCATGCCCTGACTTAGATCAGCCCAGAGGTTGTTTCAGGGTTTGATCTGTGAGTTAGCCATGCCCTGACTTGGATCAGCCCAGAGGTTGTTTCAGGGTTCTATATGTGAGTTAGCCGTGCCTTGACTTAGATCAGCCCATAGGTTGTTTCAGGGTTTCTATCTGTGAGTTAGCCATGCCCTGACTCAGATCAGCCCAGAGGTTGTTTCAGGGTTCAAGCTGTGAGTTAGCCATACCCTGACTTAGATCAGTGCAGAGGCTTCAAAGGTTCAATAGGCAATATTTTTCAGATCATAAGTCATGATCTTGAATATTATTTCTCTTTTTCGCTAAATAACTATCTTGATATGATCTTCAAGGAAAAACTACTGAGGAGAACTAAAAGACAACTTGAGGAAAGAAAAGCCAGAAATACCCTTCAGTTAAGGAACATGGATAGGTATAGGGGATTGTTTAGAATATGAACTTTATGGTTTATTTCTATTSACCCTTCCAAGGATTCACAGAAAACTGCTAATGAGTAGAACTTGTGCTGAATCATGGTGCTGTTATAGATGATGCCTTTTGTCAATATGTAAGAAAGCTTTCTAAAATGTTTTGAAAAACAGACTAAAAACAAAAGTAAATGTGAATCGATTCAAAAACTAAAACCTGTAAAAGAAAAATGGCATCCGCTAAAACATAGCCTGCATTCAACCAGTTTAATGAAATTTCTTTCAAAATGACTGTCTTTATTTCGAGAGAAATTCAACCRGCTGAGCACAGTCTACTAAAACAGCCCTATCGCAGTTGTTACCAATGTTCTGCACAACCTCAGAAAGGCCAATTGAATTTTTTATTTATTGTGATGATGATGATGGTTTATTATATAATATTAAGAATAATTATCAACATTTATTTCAGTCTTGTGGTTGTCTGCAAGCTTCATCCAAGTGCTATAGTTCTAGAGCTGCTAGAATATGTTGCTCCATCAAGACCCTTTGTAATTTTCTCTACAATCAAAGAGGTAAACATTAGATCTATGTTATTAATAATGAGCTTGTGAACTTTTTTACAAATTTTTTTGTAGCCTGTTTAGAAATTTGCATGCAGTACAGAATGGGAAAAGAAAAGGAAAGAGAAAGCAAGGAAAGGAATTTATTTGTTCCATTGTTTTCCTTTTCTCTATTTTAAACTTCTGTATTTCAAGTGTTATTTTGTAGGTTGGTCTCATTATTATTACAAACTTAAAACCACAAAGCCCCCCCTCCATCCTCCCCC